AATAATAATAATAAAGGCAATTAATATTAGCAATAATTAATAATTATACCAAAATAATTCACAATCGAACGGGGTATTACAGTCTATCCACCTTACAAAGAATTCCGTCCTAGAAATTCGAAAACAAAACTAGAAAGCACTAAAATACAAAGGGAAACTCAAAACTCAAAGTTCGGATATCGCCTCCGAAGCTCGGCCTCCTTTTCCCAAGTCGCCTCCGACTCGTCATGTCGGCTCCAAAGCACCTTCACCAAGCTCACTGCCCGGTTCCTCAACTGATGGACCTTCTGGTCCAATATGGCTACCGGTACCTCCTCGTAGGTAAGGTCTCGCTCGACCTGCAGTTCGCCGAAGTCCACCACGTGAGTGGGATCATGTACGTATCTCCGCAACATAGAGACGTGAAACACGTCATGCACTCCCGACAAGCTAGGTGGTAAAGCTAGCCAATAAGCCAAATTCCCGACTCGGGCAAGGATCTCGAATGGCCCAATATAACGCGGTCTAAGTTTCCCCTTCTTGGGCTGATCGTATATGCTTCCGGATAGCCTCAACTATCTCCATAGCTCTATGAATGAACTCCGGACCCATAATCTTCCTCTCCCCAACTTCATCCCAGTACAAGGGTGTTCGGACCTTCCGTCTATACATAGCCTCGAACGGGGCCATCTTGATCGAGGAGTGGTAGCTATTGTTGTAAGTCAGCTCGACCAAAGGCAAGACACTCTCCCAAGTTAGGCTACGGTATAAGACCACAACTCTCAATATATCCTCCAAATACTGGATCGTCCGCTCCGACTGACCATCTGTCTGAGGATGAAAAGCTGTACTGAATTCCAGCCTCGTCCCTATGGCTCGGTGGAACGTCTTCCATAACTGGCCCGTGAACTTCGCATCTCGATCAGACACGATCTCAACAGGAACCCCATGAAGCTTGGCAATCTCATCCACGAACAACTCGGCATACTGACTAGCCTTCATAGTCGTCCAGACTGGCAGAAAGTGGGCAGACTTCGTAAGGCGATCCACAATCACCCAAATCGAATCATGCCCGGTCCTCGACCTCGGCAATCCCACTAAGAAATCCATGGTGATGCACTCCCACTTCCACAAGGGAACCTCAAGAGGCTGCAACTTCCCTCTCGGTTTCTAGTGCTCAGCCTTCACTTGCTGACACACCAGGCACCCATTCACAAACCTCGCCACTTGCCTCTTCATACCTCGCCACCAAAATGACTTCCTCAAGTCCTGATACATCTTCGAGCTACCAGGATGGATGGTGTACGAGGCACTATGGGCCTCTCTCAAAATCTCCTTTCGCAATTCCCACACCTTAGGAACACATAGTCTACCCTCGAAGACTAATGCTCCATCAGATGCAACTGCAAAGCCTCCAATCCGACCGCTAATCGCCAACTCTCTCATCCGGCACAGAAAACGATCATTCGGCTGCTTGGTGACTAACCTCTCTCGAGGAGTCGGTCCCACAACCAAAGAGGTCATCATACCCCCGGTTGTCGGAGTCGACTTTACTGCCTTTAGCTGTAGCCGCTCGAACTCTCGAAGAAGGACATCTTGCTCGGTAAAAAGACATGACAACTGGCCATAACTCCTCCGACTAAGGACTTCGGCTACCACGTTAGCTTTTCCAGGATGGTAGCTAATCGTGCAATCGTAGTCCTTGACCAGTTCTAACCACCTACGCTGCCGCATATTCAGCTCCTTCTAAGTGAAAATGTACTTTAGGCTCTTGTAGTCGGTGAAAATCTCACACTTTCCTCCATAGAGGTAGTGCCGCCAAATCTTCAAGGCGTGAACGACTGCAGCTAATTCAAGATCATGAGTGGGGTATTTCTGCTCGTGAGGCTTCAACTGCCTCGAAGCATAGGCTACAACTCTCCCCTGCTGTAACACCCCTCCTTATCGTAAAATCAGAGTGCGAAAATTTCGCAAAGTTATTTAAAAATAAAATCTTTTACTTTGCGAAAACTGATTTGGGGTGCTACCGTAAAAATGTGACTTAATTTGGAAAACCGTTATCATACTTTTTAATAGAATCATACTGTTACTGAAAGCATAAAGTTTTCCAAAAGTCCGGTCAAAATATTGTTAGTGTTATATACTTAAGCTTTGCTTTAGTGGATATTACACTTGTTATTCCT